AAATTTTGATGTCAAATGAAATAAAGGAAAAGTCGTACATTTGTATTTAAAGTTTCTTTCTATCTTTAATTATTAAACCTATAAGTGGATGTCAAAATACAAAAAAAACCTGTACCTACATTCCGCGACGTACTAATAACCCACCTTGTATATTAAATAATTTATCGTCATCATCAAATATTAAAAAAATTATATTACAAGCTATTTCAAATATTATTACGAATTTTGTTTATTTGGAAATATCTGCAGTATTTCAATACCAAAAAATGAAAATAGTAGGTAGTAATTAACGAAATTGACTAAATAACTTAATTGTAACACCACTGCAGAATATCATATGAAACTACATAGATATTCGTTGATTCTTTAAAAACATATATATCAATACCTATATCATACATTTAAGTAAATACAGTAACGCAAAATACAGATATAGATAAAAAAGTATACCAAAGAAATCCGTAAGTACGCCTGGCAACATTACCAAAGTCTTGTTTATATGTTGCGGTAGGTATGCGGGCCGCTGCATTTGATTCTTCCTAAAATTCTGCTAGTGGTGTACTCTACCGGCAATTCGGAAATTTAAAACTGCTGTCCTATTCCAGTAGCGGTCTGTGGCGATAGTTATTTTGTCTGTGGTACAAGCATGATGGTGCACCAGCCCATTTTAGCATTAATGTACGTAATCACTTAGACACAGTACCTATATCCAAATCGTTGGATAGGTAGGGGAGGTACGGAACATTGGCCTGCTCGATCGCCGGATTTAAATTCTCTTGATTTTTGCATTTGGGGTTTTCTTAAGTCATCAGTTTATTCCACTCCTGTTGAAAATGTTGACGACTTGAGGAATCGAATTATAGTCGGCTGTGAGACAATAAGAAATATACCAGGAATATTTGCGCGAATACGACAATCAATGAGGCGAAGAGTTGAATCTTGTGTCACGTCTGAGGGAGGTCATTTTGAACATTTGTTGTAGCTTTGCGCCTTTTCAAAATTTTATTAGTGTTATTTTCTGTTATTGTTCTGGTTTAATGTTATTGTATTAGATAGTTCTTGATAATGTATTAAAGAAATAAAAAATACGCGTTAAGATGTTTTATTTTTTTGCATCAAAACGGCGCCCCATACGAAGAAAAGGCAAGAGAGATTTTTT